CATGTCTTCAATTCCTTCTGATCTTCGAGCTTTAAATGACTCGAACAGGTACGAGTTTCGTTTCATCTGAATAATAGCTCGTGCCTTTAAGTATCTTCTCTCCCGTATCTGTTGTTGCTCGTGCCTTCTAACTGATTACCATGCTTTGACTATTTGACCGGTCCACATGTCATGACACGTCATCTTCAATATTTAAATTCAGTTTTTTCCCAATACACCAAAGTCGGACCGTCATCAATAGCCGAGGTCGGACAGGCCAAGGTCGGACCGTCATCAAACAGCTAGTTTGCTTTGGAATACTCAAAAGGAATATTCTACCGAATATTCCCTCTAAATTGTACCCTTTTTTTTAGGATTTACTATGGATACCCTTTTATAAATAAGAAGGGAGGACTTCCCAAGAAGGGGGTCTCTCTCTCGATCCCTCTCCCTCTACTTTTCTCTAGAAAATATGTAAACACATCTCTTAAAAAAGGATCTGTGATCCCAAAACTTCATGAGATCCAAAAAGGATCCTAAGATTCGTGTATTTGTCTATCATTCATCTTTATCTTTATCAAATGAGAGAGGATCCGCTTCGCTCAAGATCGGGTGAATCCCTTCCTTTATTTACATTTTATTGTCACTTAATGTTACTTAATGCATATTTCTTTATGATTTTAAATCTGGCCATAATCGCCGCCAACTTTTATACTCGGCTATGTTTTTCTATTCATGTTATTCATCTCGGATCTAGAGTTAATTATCCTTAACTAGGATTTACCCCTTCTTCATTGATTGATTTGCTTAGAAAGTATTAAACAACTTTTGAGTCAAACAATTTGGCGCCGTCTGTGGGGATTTTCTAGTTAAAATTATAGTTTTCCCTAGATCTAAAATTCAATCCTAGCAAGTTCTTGAGTAGCTTCTACAACACATACATTTACCACGACTTTTGCTTGGTAATGACCAATAAAATCTTCATGCATCACATGTCAAAGCTTTCTGAAAAAGTCCTATACCCAAACCCNCTCTCTCTCTCGTCTTTTGTTGTTTGACAATAAAGAAAGAGCAGAATCTATGCTTTTGATCAAGTCCATGGCGGACAAGGAAAAAAGCACAAACGACTGGTTTATCCGCCCTTTGTCGCACAAAATTGATGGGAACCCGACTTCTAATTGGGGTTTCTCAGCTCCGCGGAAGTAAACAGAGTACTGACTTTTGGATTTCGTTTTGGGCATATACACACACACTAGTGTAAACTTTAAGCAAATGTTCTGTTATCTACTGGAGTAGTTTCTCACGTCACTCAAAACTAGAAGACTGTATCTGTTTGGAGTTCTCCAAAAACGTAAAATCAGTCTACGTACATATATACGTCTCATACTGAACCAATTAAATTCAAAAAGATTGTTCCTCTAAGACACTAATGCTCAATATCGTTTGATTATAACTGTAAACGGAGAGAATTATGAAGTATGCTGCTGCTATTCATGAACTATTCATGGACATGGCGCACACAATTAGTGAAGGGTTGGGTTTAAAGAATGTTTCTTTTGAGGGATGGCCATGCTAGTTTAGGTTTAACAAGTACAGCTTCACGCCGGAAACTATAGGTTCCACTGGGGTTCCTTCACACACAGACACATATTTTCTCACTATACTACAGGATGATGAAAACGTCAATGGTCTCGAAGTCGTGAATAAATCTGGCCAATTTGTAGCAGCTGAATCCTGGCCGAACTCCCTCCTTGTCAATATGGGAGATGTAACCAAACTGCTACCAATGATGATCAACTACAGCCCACCACTCAAACAGTAGATGATGATGATCAACAGAAGAATAAGAAACAGTGATGAATTTAAGAGAGGCTCGACTTTACTTCAGCGTCACCGCTTCTTGCTAATTGTGCTTGCCCTCCAAGCATTTCTTTGCACTAGATCAAACTGAGGTAACAAATGCTTTTATTTTATTTTAACTAACTATTTCTCTAAGTGGAATAGAAGCAGGAGCAATCACCAAGGAAATGCGTCGTATTCTCCAATACAAGCAAAATTAAGCAAACTGAGACTCCCCCAGGAAATACATCATATTCTCCAATGCAAGAAAAATTAAGTAAATCGAGTTAAAGGCTAAGTGCCTTCGCCATCAAAGTTTAACAAGTTCGACCTCGCTCGAACTGAGTTTAAGGCAAAGTGCCTTCGCCATCAAAGTTTGACAAGTTCGACCTCGCTCGAACTGAGTTTAAGGCAAAGTGCCTTCGCCATCAAAGTTTGACAAGTTCAACTGAGTTTAAGGCAAAGTGCCTTTGCCATCAAAGTTTGACAAGTTCGACCTCGCTCGAACTGAGTTTAAGGCTAAGTGCCTTCGCCGTCAAAGATAGACAGTTCGACCTCGCTCGAACTGGGACTCAGGCTAAGTGCCTTCGCCATCAAAGTTTGACAAGTTCGACCTCGCTCGAACTGAGTTTAAGGCTAAGTGCCTTCGCCATCAAAGATTGACAGTTCGACCTTGCTTGTACTGGGACTCAGGCTAAGTGCCTTCGCCATCAAAGTTTGATAAGTTCGACCTCGCTCAAACTGAGTTTAAGGCAAAGTGCCTTCGCCATCAAAGTTTGACAAGTTCGACCTCGCTCGAACTAAGTTTAAGGCTAAGTGCCTTCGCCATCAAAGATTGACAGTCCGACCTCGCTCGAACTGGGGCTCAGGCTAAGTGCCTTCGCCATCAAAGATTGACAGTTCGACCTCGCTCGAACTGGGACTCAGGCTAAGTGCCTTCTCCATCAAAGTTTGACAGCTCGACCTCGCTCGAATTACAATGGGTTAACATTCCGATAAGTTCAAAATAACACTCTTTAAGGCCAAGGGCCTTCGCCAAAAAGAGGAGTTCGATATTGATCAAACGACGACGGGTTAACATTTCGATAAGTTCGAAATAACAACCTTTAAGGCCAAGGGTCTTCGCCAAAGAAGAAGAGTTCGACCACGATCGAATGATAACGGGTTAACATTTCAATAAGCTCGAAATAACACCCTTTAAGGCCAAGGGCCTTCGCCAAAAAAAAAAAGGAATTCGACCTCGCTCGAATTACAACGGGTTAACATTTCGGCCTTCGCCCAAAGTAACACCTCTACGGCCAAAGGCCATCGCCAAAGGAATAATTCGACTTCACTCTCATTCGACTCTCATTCGACCTTAGCTCGAACTTGATTCACGACTAGGCCTCATTCAAATTGAATAGGGAAACGTGAAAATGAAACAATAATCACTGCTAGCATCCAAATTATATTGGGAGTACAAGAAAATGAGAGAGATAGGTTCTGGTCTCATCTATAATTTGAGTCCATGACCCAACACACCTATATAATTTTAGTGGTCACACTATTCTCGACAACATTCCTCCTGATAGCAACGACTTTTACCCTTCCAATTTAAACACCTTCTTTCTACGCTGCTATGGAGTCTCGACGACTGGTGGCAAGATCTTTTTAAGAATTTGTCTGCAGCAGATAAAGTCAAGAGAATTGTTGTCATTTATGACATTCTCATGTCTTTGGTAGTTCAGGATGTTATTGCCATACCAAAATACCGAAATGTACTTCTTTCATAATGTTTCTGCTCTGGACGTATGTTCTAGAATCTTAGAAGCAAAACTAAATATTGATCCAGTCACGCCGCCAACTGATATTGCGGAACTATTGCAAGAACTTGCATCCATGGAACCTGGATCAGATTCACCACCACCATTAATGGTGAAATACATGGAAAAAGTACGAGGCGAATAACAACGAAAAATTCTTCTTTATGCAAAGCCACTGCGCAAATAGTCGCAGATTACATACGACCCGGATCAATGGCCAAAAAAGACAGTTATCTTTTCACTCGACGTCGTCATCGCCACTCTCTTCACCACCACCTCCAAGATATTCTCCATCGGTATCTTCAGCGGCAACCCATACTAGTCGACCTCCCCATCCGAATTTCTCAAAATTATGATTAATGAAGTCCGCTCACCGAGCTCGACCAAGAGACGACCTCGATAAGCGGAGGGACTAACTGTATGGGTCAAAAATTAGATCAGAGAAATTCGGCACGTGGAGACATAAGGTCGTGGTCAGACAGGCCAAGGTCGGACCGTCATCAATAACCAAGGTCGTAGTCAGACAGGCCAAGGTCGGACCGTCATCAATAACCAAGGTCGTGGTCAGACAGGCTTCATCAACGACCAACATCGTGGTCAGACAGGCCAAGGTCGGACCGTCATCAATGACCGAGGTCGTGATCAGATAGGCCAAGGTCGGACAGGCCAAAGTCGGACCGTCATCAATAGCCGAGGTGACAGGCCAAGGTCGGACCGTCATCAAACAACTAGTTTGCTTTGAAATACTCAAAAGGAATATTCTACCGAATATCCCCTCTAATAAATTGTACCCTTTTTTTAGGATTTTCTATGAATACCCTCCTTATAAATAAGAAGGGAGGACTTCCCAAGAAGGGGGTCTCTTCCTCGATCCCTCTCCCTCTACTTCTCTCTAGAAAATAGGTAAAAGAGGATCTGTGATCCCAAAACTTCATGAGATCTCAAAAGAATCCTAAGATTCGTGTATTTGTCTATCATTCATCTTCATCTTCATCTTTTATCAAATGAGAGAGGATCCGCTTCGCTCAAGATCGAGTAAATCCATTCCTTTATTTACATTTTATTGGCACTTAATGTTACTTAATGCATATTTCTTTATGATATTAAATCTGGCCATAATCACCGCCAACTTTTATACTCGGTTATGTTTTTCTATTCATGTTATTCATCTCGAATCTAATCATTGATTGATTTAAGTATTAAACAACTTCATTGATTGATTTAAGTATTAAACAACTTTTGAGTCAAAAGTAAAGCTCACAGACCTCAACCAAGAACGGGTTAAAGAAGCAATGACTCAGTTAGCTTTTGCTAGAAAAGCAGAGAGACTAATTCTAATCTTCAATATAACAGAAGTTCTTTAAGAAGGTGACTTCAGAATTAGAGATAAAACTGAATATATATATACCCACTAAGATAAACTGATTTTCTGCAACTTCAACCCTTCTATCCAACTTCCTTAACTTTGTTCGTCAATCTTCATACAGAAGTTTTTTCTTGACCCTTGCTTCAAATAATGATAGCTTGCTTTTAAATAATCTTCTCTTGCAATGCAGTTGGTACAGCAAAATAAAACTCATAACGCCCCACACACTTTTTGCAGCTAGGAGAAGCAGATTATTATACTCAACTTCCAATTAATCTAAAGCGGCACTTACAACCGTATCTTTTTTAGCAGGTCGTCTTTTACTTTTCCACACAGAAAATTACTACATCCAAAAGCTAGGGGAAAAGAAGCAAAATGTTTATAACACCAGACTCAAACACAAACTAAGCATTAAAAGCTCAAGCAACTTGAACATGGAAAACATCTTTCCTCTCTTCTTCCTTCACCTTAGGAACCGCCACCTTAAGAACACCATTCTTCATCTCCGCCTTAATCTCATCTAATTTGTAGAGATTTTGAGGAATTTCAAGTCTGGTAGAGTACCTTCTCCTATACTCTTCATCCTCTGATTCTTTCTCCCCTTCTCCCTTGATGATCAGAGTGTTCTGCTTCACCGACACCTTCACGTTTTCCTTGTCAAGCCCAGGCATGTCCATTCTAATATGCAAGGCATCATCATCTTCTCTCACGTCCCATCCCCTCCTTGATCCAACTCCAGTACCCATACCACGCGGTGCCGTGAATGGAGTATCCATCATTTGGTCCATCATATTTAGTAGTTGGCTCACGCTCCTTGGTGGTGAAAATGGATCAAGCACATCTGTTTAATCAAACCCAAAAAAACCATATCAGTCAAAACCAGTTCATCACACGATTCAGCATACTCGGTGCATTTAAAGTTATAACTTAGGAACAAATAGTACAACATCTCAGCTCTCTTAAAGCAGTAAGGTCGATTATCTTCCATAAATTATCAATTTTAACAGGCCTTCACACAACAAAAAAAGTGTACCAAGTACGCGTGTATATATTTACTAAAAGAGCAAAATCGGATGGTCAAATAAACACACAACGAAGATTTGTGCCAAAAAATTAGGGACTTATTAACTCTGATAAACTTGTAGGCACAAAAGAGAGGTTATATTGAACCTAAATCAGCGGTTTTATACACAAGGTCTACCTCTGTTTCATGGTCAAATCTGAGCAAAAACCAGAAGCAGGAGAACTAACCTGAGAAGAAGCCAGGGAAAGAGTCACGCCCGCGAGAGACGGAGCGATCGGAGCGGCGATCAACATCAACGCTGCGATCATCGTCATCGTCGAAAGTTGTCATCTGAGCGTTGGTGTTGAAGGACCGGAAAACAGAGGGAGCAACAGAGGCAGAGCGAACCGGGTTGACTAGCCTGTTGAGGAGTGCTGAGGCAGTGGCCGCCCTTCTGAGAACAAGTGAAGTTGCCATCTCTACTGTCAAATGATTGCTTACTGGCTTCCCGAAGAGAAAGAGGTAACTGCTCTAATGGAGTAAACTTACCGACTAAACTTCACACTGTATTGCTGGATAAGTATGACAAATGCGTGCGTAGTGTCTCCTTTTATATGCGCTCAATGACTTGGAGAAGGGGAAAAAGGATTCGAGAAACTCATGGAAGCATCTTGTAGAAAGTTCCAGACTTGTGGCGTGCCGATCATGTGAAGAAGTTTCTGGAGGCTAGTAGACATATCCGTGCCGGATTCTTTTACAATTACTATTGTGTCCTCAGTTGCTCTTAATGAGCTTCACGGTATTGCTCTATCATTGCTTTTTGGTATTTGTCCTAAAAATTATCAATAGTTAATCCGTGTTAAAGATAAATGTGTATTAGTAATTCATACTAATTCAATAAAAAGGTATTGAAATGATTATATATTTTTTAAAATTGCTCGAAAGGATATTTATAGAATTATATAATTAAATAAAGTCATTGCACGTATTTATTTAAGCATTAACAGGTAAACTGACAAAAATGATAATTTAGTATAATCAACTAAAATTACATCGTATAAACAATTCTTTAAACATATCAATGTGTATAATTAGGATACACGCGTTGCCTGTGCATGTTTAATTTCAATAAATAAATTATTTTAAAAATTTCATAAGGTAAAATCTTATATGATTTTAGAGTATTAAATATTAGGAATCCTACTTAGTTCAAATAATATAAAAAATTATAATTAAAATTTTAGTTAATTGCAAAATCTTAAAATTCTAAGAATAGTTTAATATAATTTTGCCCAATATAAGACCTATTAAAAGCTGCTAAAAACGGAGAAAAAGGTCCAATACGAGCGAGAAAAAATAGTAAAAGAAATAACTTGACAAAAGGTTAAAGCATATCGTCTAAATACAAAAAGGATACTACTCAACCAAGCTTTACAATCAAGAACATCAAAATAAAATGTATTGATTAAACTCGTGCATGCAAAATCAACTACTAATACAATTACATAAATGCAAAATTCAACTGCTAATATAAAAAAAAATTGCTCAAAGAAAGAGAACCCGAAAACCTTAATTTTGTAGTTGTTCCTCGAACAAGGCAAATTACAATGATGAAAATGTGAAATTGTAACTTCTTTTATAGAATTACATGCTTACATAAAATTGTGTAAAACTTTTATTAGAAAAAAGACTCTAATAAGTTCTCAAAGAGCTCGTCTTCATCTTATATAATTTATAAAAAAATTCAGTGTCAAAAATTTATATCAAAACTTTCCTAATGTTTGCTTGAATTAGTCAAAATTTAAGAACTTTCCAAGTGTGAAATTTTAATACTTCTAAATTTTAATATAGTTGAAAGTATCAAAAGTTTCATAGCATGTGAATTAGCTAAAGTTTTATTAACTAAAGAAATCCTGAAACCTTCCTACTGTGTGTGAATTAGACAAATTTTTATTAACTAAAAAAGATTTTCCTAAATTAGAAAGAAAAATTTAATATAACTCTTAAAAATGGAGTTGGACGAAACCTTCCTATTGTGTAGAAAACGAAAATGTTTCCTAGCATGTATGTCAATATTATTATAAATATTAAAAGAGTAATTAAATAACTATTCCTCAATAGTAGGGAATTAATTAAATAATAATTTTTAAATATTAGGGAAACAATCAAATGACTATTTTGTCTAATGTTAACTTTATTTTAAAAAAGGTAAAAAGGCGAATGATATTTCGCTAAGGACCTTCGTGCTTTTAATATAGTATAGATTAGTAGAGATTGTACTTTATATTCACATATACTTTGAGATTTCATCCCTCCTTTCTGCTCTTTTGCGGTGAAAATTTATTTAGAAGATTTTGTTCTAACTAAAGGGTAAATAGGAACTAGCAAGTAATATTTACCCCCGAATATTTAGTTCAATTATATTAGTTTATCATAATTAAATAATTTGATAACACAATTGTATGGGTCAAAATCTGACTAAGGAAATCTGGCACAAGGCTAGATTACCAAAAGGCGATTAGGCCGAGGTCCTGTACAAGATTGAAGAAACCAATGGGCGAGCTGATTAATCGGGGCCGAGGTCAAGAACTCAGGTCGGCAATAACGACTAGTTTGTAGTAAGATGTTTTAGGGAAATATTCCACTGAATATTCTCTGCACTTCTACTTTAAGTTAGGTAAGGGAAATGTCTCATATAAGGAGGAAGGGAGAGAAAAGAAAGGGGCATGTAATATTCTATAGAAAAAGATCTCTCATTAAAAAGTTGACTCTCAAGTAAATCACAAAGATTGTCTTTCCACAAAGATTCGATTTATTGTTCATCCCACACTTTCTCGCATCAGATCCGAGAAAGCTTCCTATATTCCCACGTTTGTTTGTCTTACATCATTGTCAGAGAGAAGAATCATCCACCTCATTCAATATTTGGGTAAATCATTTTCTCTATTTACATTTATTGCCATTTAGTATATTTATTGCTTACCATTGTTCCCCCACACACTTATAACGGTATCATTTAATACCTATTGTATTAAATTGGTTTAAATGCAATTCTACGTTATTTATATTAACTTTTTCAGATCTAGGATTTATTATGTTTAACTAGGATTTACCCACTACTTCTTATTTAATTAGTTTAACAAACAGGCTTAATACTTTTTGGTCAAATAATTTGGCGCCGTCTGTGGGAAATTTTCTAGTTAAAAGTTTAGTTTTTCTAGATCTAAAAAAAAACTTTGCAAAAACCCTATACTTTCCTTGTTTGCACAAATCTAACATGGCAGGCAATGGAGAGGAAAAGAGGAAGGCGATAGCCGACCTCACCACCCACCTCCTCTACACCATCAACGAAGTGGATGAAATGGAGGGCGAAGATATAACACCAAACACCGCTCCTAGGCGAACCAACTCGCCCCCACCTCAGGTAGCATCACGACCTCGCACGGTAAGGGGGCCTCTACATCCACGACAGAAGAGGCACCACTTGTAGTGAAAAAGCTACTTGAGACATGTTTGACAAACACGCTAACCGGCTTCCTCGACAAGCCTGCTCGGAGGCCGAGCAGAGAAGAGGCAAGGGTCGACATTGCATCGGCAGCTGACGAGCAGTACGCCCCCCTACAACAGGTATTACTCACAATGCTAGTGATGCAGGTAATGACACCCTCACAGCCATTTTGAGGAAGATGGAGGAGATGGAGAACAAGAACAAAATGCTCCGCAACCAAATGAAAGAGCACCAAGAAAGGGTAGATAAAATACTGGGTGCCCCCAAAACTTCTGCCTAAAAGGGACGCCGGTCGGTTTGTTGAGCAGCCATATAGCGACGAGGCTGCACCACACGCCATACATAAGACCTTAAATGCTGCCGTACTTAAAAATATACGACGACACGACGGACCCGGAGGATCATGTGACCCACTATGTCATAAAAATGAAAGGCAACGACCTCGCCAAAGAACAAGTATCATCCATATTGCTGAAGACGTTTGGAGAAACCCTAACAAGGGGAGTGCTGACTTGGTGCTCACAGTTACCTACGCGTTCCATAGAAATGTTCGAGGAAATGGCAGACAAGTTCGTCACCGCCCATGCCGGGGCTAAGAAAGTAGAGGCGAGGGTGAACGGCATATTCACCATTAAGTAATCGCAAGGCGAAGGAATCAGGGAGTAACTTGCCCGATTCAACCATGTAAGAATGGCCCTTCCAAATATATCAGAGGGGATGGCGGTAGCCGCTTTTCAAAATGGGCTAAGCAGAAGTGGGTCGAGGGCGACCAAAAAGTTGTTAAGCCGACTCATGAAATACCCTCCAACCACTTGGGACAAGATACACAACGCCTACTGTGCCGAGGTAAGAGCCAACGAGGACGATCTCAACGGACCTACCCAACGGTTGACCTCCATCCAAATGGAGTCCAAGATGGACCGGAGAAATGACAGCATGAGAGATCTAGTGGGATCTCGACCTAATCGGGAGAGACATCATCCTTACATTAGAGGCGCCTACATGCCGCCTCCACGGCACGATGAAGGTCCATCCAGGCCGCGAACGGGAATCCACCGAAATGAGAGAGGTATGCCCCTTTTATTATCTGCTCACAATTTTTGTGTTTCCCCCTCAGAAATAGTCTGCGCACTGGTGAAGCTCGGCCTAAAAGTGAAGTGACCACAGAAGATGAGATCCGACCCGAGCACTAGAAAGTCAAATGCCCTCTGCGAATTCCACCAGGAGCGGGGTCACAAAATCGAAGACTGTATCGCCCTGAGACAGGAGGTCGTGAACATGCTTCACCAAGGGCACTTGAAAGAACTGATGAGTGACCGGGGGAGAGCCAACTTCACCCGAGGACGTGAACAACACTAGTGACCGCCCAAACCACCTTCCCCGGCTCGAACCATTCAAATGATCATGGGAGGAGCGACGATGCATCAATCAACAGCGTGAAGTTCACCACTACCCACAAACTCAAACGGTCAGTCACTCATGAACGGTATGACGAACTCGAAGAAAGTATCATCTTCGATAAGTCGGATACCCACGGTTTGGTTTTTCCTCACAATGACGCTCTTGTCATTATTTTACGCGTTTTTGATACCGTTGTAAAATGTATTATGGTCGATGATGGGAGCGGCGCGTGCATCATCCACCCTCGAGTTCTCACCCAAATGAAGCTCGAGGACAGGATAGTGCCACGTTGCATCACACTAAGGGGTCATAACAATGTAGTTGAGCGGACATCTAGAGAAATCATGCTGCCCGTCATGGCCGGCGGCGTCACTTTGGAGACCACGTTCCACATCATGGACCAGGATATGGTGTACAACTCCATCATAGGTCGACCTTGGATACACACCATGAAAGTCGTCCCCTCCAGCTTATATCAAGTCATCAAATTTCCCACCCCCTTGGGAGTATTCAGCATCCGAGGAGAGAAATACACTGCCCGAGAATGCTACCGCATCGCCCAAGACTGCACACACACCAAACAACTGAAAGGCAAAGCCGGGGAGGCATAGTAATTAGCAAAGTCGGGGTCAGATGGTAATGAGGGGAATGACGTTATTAGAGAACCCAAAATCGTAGAAGCCACAGGGTCAACCATAGAGGATTTCGACCCCGTCCAACTCGATGATAACGACCACAACAAGAAAGCTTTCATCAGCCATAAG